ATATCATATTCTGATCATAAACATGATGTTTTTAAGAATTTACAACAGTTTTCCTTTTGGTATCCAACAATAGAGACTTTTATTGTTGCCTCTGTAATCTCTGGCAATTTAAAGATTTGTTGAATAATTTGTTTTTGTCTGCTACTGAGTTTCCTGAATTTAATAAAATAGCAATATTCTTGAAAGTAAGCTTTCTGGGTTGCTCGGCAACTGACATGTCAGTGATGACATTTTTAAAAAGCTGTGTGCTTCAACTGTGTGGTAAAAAGAGTAGATGATGCATAAATAACATGATTACTCATCCCCAAACGCAGAGACCAAACAAAAGCAGATCCCTGGTCTGTTTTAAGAGTTCGTTTTGAGTTTATCAATTTGTCATTTAGTACGAAGAGCAAAAAAGTATATACTGAAGAATGATCTAATTCATAATTGATTTTAAGTCAAGTCTATTCTATCTATAAAGCCCAATATCACAAATTACAATCCGCCACAAGGGCCTCACCCCCTGAGGTGAATTTCATGAACAAGCTTTTGTCTCTTGTCATTCTTATCTACATAATCTCCTGTGTTACTCTTTCACACCTGGTTGCAGTTTATTGACACCTATATTCCTCTCTTCACCACAAGATTGGTCTGAAGTGTCTAGCACACTTTGCCAGGAGCCCAAGAGTCCATATTAGTCTATTAAGGACACTGTGTGTCGGGATGGCGGAGGGCAGCTCTAGTATTTATAGCTTTGAGTCATAGGCTGGAATGGTGTAAGTGTATCTCTCCATCAGCATGCTTGCTCACTTAAGAGTGGGTACAATCGACAGTGAAACTGGGGACTGTCATTGTCCAAAGTGAGTCAGTTATCATAATTGCATGTGTAATTCTGTAGACTCTGTGACTGTGGTACGTGATTTTGGATGATTATAGGTCTGTATTATCTATTGCAAGTGCATACACACCTAAACTATGCAAAAACACCCATTGGATGCTTTAGGCAGAATGAGTTGGATTTTCCTAAAATATAATGTGTAGATGTAGTATAAGAATAATTACTCTCGTCATCCCTTATGGATCACTAAAGTGTGTCAGTGTCTGTACATATCTGCAGAGACCCTGCCCTCTGCTTTTATTGTCTGATTCTGCTGTGTTCAGGATGTTTCTGGGCGTCAACCTTTGGACAGTGGGTGCGTAGCTCCCAGCCAATAACAGCATGCAGGGAACTTAGCGACTAGGTGCCAGATCGTAAGCACGTATACAGGAGGTACTTTTGGTGTCGTTGAGCTGGGGATGAGGGGCCCACTTTGATTGTTGTGTTTACAAATCACCACCCACAATTCCTTCTTGTTATCCTACTGAAGTTGCCCTAAATTAGGTTTTCGTAAAGGTAAGGTTATGTTTACATGCCCACGAGTACCCGCGTTTTTAGTCTTATTCTGTTTTTGCTCATATTCAGGATAATTCATTTACATGGAACATGAAAATCCTGGTTATTGATATCCCTTTACATGATCACAACAGTATCCAGGTTTCTGATCTGTCTTTTGTAGGTTTGTCATGATTTCTCATCATCTCAGCCACTCCAAAATACATATCATATCCAGGATACTAAAATTGTTTTAGAAAAGGGTTAGGCTTCAGTGGATCGAATACACCTACAATAATTTATATTTTTAGTATTTAGTCTAAAATTCATAATGATCTTATTGGAAGTTGACCCTGTCAGATTTAAGTCTTAACTGGTGAGTAGCCTCCAGTCTCTGTCAGAGTTGATTGGATAAATATTATGGTAGTAAGCCATAATATAGAGTATGGCTAGTAAATGGAACAACTATTCTGAAAGCAAAGTTATATTGATGTCATAATTATTTGTCAGCCATTACACCACATTGTGAATTTGACCGGTAGAAATCAACTGAAATTGCACCACATGCTGTAAAACTGTAAAAACCTATGAATAGATGCAATATCTTAACATTAAGTCTTAAGTGAGTTACAGTATTTATGTCATCTCAAAATTCTAAACTTACATTGTTTGTTTGAGTTTTCATTTTCTATCTCAGGGGTGTGATTTCAGGACCATATGTCCACAGCAGGATAGTTTATAGCTCAGTAGGAATACGAGTGACGGTTGTGATGTGATGAGTTTATGGTGTGGCAATATAATCGCAAGACCGCATCGCATCCCCGGTGGTGACAATCCTCTGCAAGACTTATATTTAAGAAGTACAACCAAAGCCTGTTTTAGAACCAAACTCTCCACATGTGCCGTACAAACTTTTAACAAGCACCTGCTTAAACATGACCACAAATAACCATTCCTGTCCGTCAGTGTCTCTGGTATCCATGGCATCCAGATCTTTTTCTAGAACAGGAGTCAGTAGCCTTTACTATCAAAACAGCTATTTTTGTCCAAAAGGAAAATAAATATGTCTGGAGCTACAAATTATATTTGAGACTTATAATGCTAATTTCTTGCTGCAGATCAAACATACTGGTAAGCCAGCAGCGTTGGTTGTGAATGCAAACAAATCTGTCCTTGCACTATTAAATTCTTTATTTTCCTTTAAGACTTTTCTATATTCAGATTTGGAAAGCTAGGCTTGCTAGGAAGACTCAAGACTAGTAGCCAAAGCTATTGAGGTTCTACAAAATATAAAGCAAAAGGCACCAGGTCAGAATGTTACATATGAAGCTCATTATTGTTGACAAAATCACAGAATCACTTTAGATGATAAACAATGATAAATAAATAAAAAATTGTAAAAAAAAAAAAAAAAATACATTATTCAATTCCATATTATCTTTTGTCAAAGCCACAGGCAGCCACTGGAGAGAGGCTAAAGAGCCACATGTGGCTCCGGAGCCAAATGTTGCCTACCCCTGCTGGTCTGTCACCTTTCTGTTGGACTGGTAGGAGCAGTGGCTAGATAGAGCAGTGTCAGGTGCTTAACATAGATAATGTGATGAACAGTTGAGTAGACTAAGTTTAGACAGCATGTGAGACCATTCATCAGAAATTGAAAGGACAGACCAGTCAAACAGGGTCATAGGACTAGTGGGTGATGTGGTTCTGAGTGGTTCAGTTACAGCAGTTCGTGTTGTAGGAAGCTGCTGTACAGTACACTACAGTCGTAGGGAAATGAGGCAGCTATTTGAACTGTGCTCTGCAGTAGTTGTCCCTCTTTTACTTAATCAACTCTCTTTTTATTCAATAAGAAAGAAATCTATATTTTTACATATGTTGGTGAGAGGTTATTGAAATGGTTTTGAAGACGGCAGAGCTTCTAGAATAGTGTAAACGCAGGTGTTACTAATGAAATTGGAATGGCTCTGCTACACTAGATGGAACGAAACATTAATTACTGTCATTGGTAACACCTCTGATTACCCTACTATTTCATGTGAAAATGGCTGCTGTGAAAAGGGTCTATGTTGTGTGTAAATCTAGCTGGCTGAATGAAAATGTCCTCTCTTTGAAAAAATCACACACTAAAAGTAGCATGAGAGTGACATGAAAGTTATTTCCCTCTAATCTTCATTTGCATTGCCTTATATGTGATGGCTCTGGTTTGAACACACTGTATTGATGTTGTCAGCCTTAAAGGTAGCGAGAGCAGCAAGCAGCGAGCATGTGCCAGTCCAGTGATACAATGTAGTTGGTCTAGGGAGGCTGCTGTCTACTATCTCTGTGTTCTTAGAGGAGAAGCTAAGGAGGAACTTCTCTAGGAGTTCATTGGCCTAATAGGTCAGTTTTACTAGTTTTCATGTCAGTAAACTAGACAGTCATATCTTTGAAACCAGGAGACAGACAGGAGTTGAGAACACCAGGATTCAGTATTCCTGAGTCCACATCCTTTGCTACATTATGCCATGTCGACCTGTTTACCAGTTTAGTCTTCTTAAACCATTGTCCAGAGTTCTACTGTTTACACAGACAACCGTGTTGCCATGGTGAGCCTTCTCACTGTTGCTCTGTTGTTCACATTAAACAGCGGCAGCTAACATACTGTCATGGGTAGTGGTTCATAGCGACTGAAAAAAAACTATGAAATAATAATATATAAGATATTCTGGGAACATTGCAAGTCATAATATTGAACATTTGCTTTGCTTATCAGCTGACATAGCCTCCTTTCTTTTCTTTCTTTTATCAGCCATATAACCAAAGGAAAATGCATTTGCTGACCATAAACAAAGGCTTTGTAAAGTTAGATAGCAACTTCATCAGTTGCAAACTGCTGCATAATACCTCTTGGCACTGATTATTTCCTTTGGTTTATCCTAAACCCTGCAGCACTGACAGCCAGCCGATGGCTGTGTCCAACTGCCGACCATCTGTTAGTTGATAACTTGTAAGATTTGCCTTGTTTGCTTATGCTAGCTGTGAGGAACAGAATTGTGTGGATGTGGGGAGCAGAAACTACAGGTAATGTCAAAAAGAACAGGAAAGCAGTGAAGTGCTGATTAAATGCCTCTTTGTACTACAAGTAATATTTATTAGTCCTGTAATTCTTATGTTAGTTAGCAGAGCCGCATGTTCATTAATGCTTTCCAACTGTACAAAAGTGGTCATTGTTTGGTAGTTTTCACAAAGCATAAACACTTACTGCAGCTAAAACATCTGTGTTACATGCTACTAATGTATGGAGACATAAAAAAATGTCAAACTTGGAATAAAACTTGAAAACTTTAATTGCTGAGTTCCAAGATAAAAATAGTTTGTATTTTAATGTTACCACCACCCGACCTCAGTCCTATTGGTTCCTGCTGGCGTTGTCTCTACATTCATGTTTCCTCTAGTTTACACTGGCTGGATACATGCAACTGATGCTGTGTATCAAACTTGTGTCATAACAGTTCTTGGGCTGGAAACTCAGAACGGCTGAGTCAGGAGCATGCATATGATGATAGACACAAGCATTAGCCGTTAACTTCTGTGTGAGCTCTAACAAGGCAATTGCATTTGTCCTAGATTCCTAAAGAATGTGTTGTTTTGTTTTTCTCTATAGCATCAGTGCGGTGCCTGTGGACAGCAGCGATAAGAAGGCCCTTCAGGTGGGGGGCCAGCTGCCAGCAGGGCCTCAGCAGCAGAACCAGCAGCTCTTTCTGACCCCAGCCAGCCTCCAGCTCGCTCAGCTCCAGGCCCAGCTTACCCTCCATCGCCTCAAACTGGCTCAGGGGGGCAATACAGCCACTGCTGCCACTGTTCTCAATCAGGTTCTTTCAAATGTCGCCATGTCCCAACCCCTGTTCAATCAGCTACGGACTACGACTATGGTTGGGAATCCTCAGGGTGCCTTCCCCACAGGGGTGCTAGGTTTTCCCTCTGCAAATTCAGCCTTGGGTACCTTGGTGGGTGGGGGATTCAACCAAAACCCAGGAAATGTGAGATTAAATCATCCTGGTGGAGGGGGCACAGTGGGTCAACATGGTGCAGAATATGGTAAAAAGTCAGGGTCAGCTTACCCCTCTGATACCGACAGGCGTCTTCAGTACAACTTAGTTGGAGGGACATCTGCAGCATCAGCCACGGCTGGTGATGGGCAGTACTCAGCGATTAACACTCAAGCAAAAAACATGAACAGTGTTGGCTTCCAGAGAGATTTCTGTGGGCAGGATATGCTGGGGCACCAAACTGGGTTCAGTGTTAATGAGCAGAACATGAATGTTTATAACTCCACTGGGCATAAGGAACAATGGAAATTCCCTGCTAACCTGAGTCACACTGGAAAGGCGGATATGGTTTCTAATGCTGCCAACGTGTGGACAGCAGCTGGACAACCAATTCGGTCCAGAACGGAACTGTATAACCCTGAGGAGCCGACCCCTGACCCCAAGTTCAATCCCAGTAGTGGGGTTTCCTCCTTCGGTCCAAGTGGCACACAGGGGTTTGGGGGCTACCAGCCCCTGCATGGAAGCGAGGAAAACCAATCTTCAGGTGTCCGAACACTTCAGCCTTATCAAGTCAACGATTACCATGCTGTCACACCCACGCAACTGCCACACCAGTGTAGCATCTGTGACAAGAAGGTCTACAATCTCAAGGTGAACGAACGATCAGTCAGAACATAAATGCATGTGTGTAAATGTATAAGGAGTTTGCTAAGAATACTGTAGCTGTAGAATACCTGAAGCTAAGGAAAGTTATTAACCTCCAAATGTAACATTCATCTGCTCACACCTTAACTTTATTATTTATTATGCTCTGTAATTCTATAATTTCAAACTCTATATTTTTATTCTGGGACTCCACTAGAGTAGCTTTACATGATTCACAGTTTAAAAGTGCTTATGAGCGCTGCAGCAATAGACACTGGCAGAGTGCTCCTGGGGGCTTGGTCTCTGTACAAAAACACAACTTTATTAATTGATTTTGATGAAACTGGATCATATTTTATGGTCTCTGATGTCCTCTGACCACTCTGTCTCAGTTCCCTGATTGGCAGAAAGCTTTACTTGTTGTTAGCGGCTACCTAATCTGCTAACTAACGGCAGCTAGCATTACAGTTAGCAGGAGTTAGCCGCTACTTTAGCTACAGAAAAATCTGTAACCTTAAATCACAGAGTTGTGTCAAAGCAGCCAGAGGACATCAGAGGGAAAACCAGAAAATGTGGGAAGGCTGTGACATTGGCTTCCTGACATCCAGCGATTGTGCAGCGTCAACATTTTTTCCGGCCTGTAGCTCGATAGCTCCCTGACAGAATGGCCGCTTGGTGTTAAAAATGTTTTAAACCACAACAAAAGGGACGCCCCAGTATCTCACCTGGTAGAGCGTGCCCCATGTTCAAAAGCCTAGTCCTTATCTCAGCAGCCTGGGTTCAGATCCAACCTGTGGCCCTTTGCTACATGTCATCCCCTCTCTCTCTCCCCCTTGCCTGTCTACCTTCAGCTGTCTCTATCCATTAAAGACGTAAAAGCCAGGAAAAAAAAAAAGGGGGTCTGGGTGGGCCGAGCTGGAAGCATGGCTGAGAGTGCTGACTGTATAGCTGTGACATCACAACCTTATGGTGCTTTTGGCTCATTTAAAGGCACATTTTGCTTTATAATAAAAAAAAAGACACAAAATCTCTTTCTACAATATAGGACCTTTATTAACAAAAGACAGTTGAGAATGAGCAAGCGGGCAGTCCAATCCCCAAGTAGTTTGAAATTCATCCTGAAACTAACTGATATACTGTAGTTAAATGTTTTGATTTGACGGGCAGCCGCTAACTAACTAACTAACTGATTTAAGATCTTGTCTCTTTAATTGCTCTCAGCCGTGAGCTTATACAAGGGGCATATAAGAGCTACCGTGCAGTGAGCCTTCAGTGTGTCCAAGCTGTTTGAGTCTATGTTTGGATGGTCTGTGTTTATGTGTGTGTTTCTAGGACTGGGACCAGCATGTGAAGGGAAAACTACACCTGCAGAACCGAATGTTGTACACAAAAGAGAGGTGAGTTATCTGTGCCTCTCAAATTCACTGGACAGAGTTTAAAGTGGGTTGTAATTTGTGAAATGTGCATGTCATTTTACTACTGAGTGAAAAGATTTTCACAAAACTAGTGGTTTATTCCGTTTTTATCTAACAATAATCAGAAGCCTACAGTGTTTGCTTTTATTATTATCCTTGACCATGGTTTGGCCATTTCCCCTCGCGCCTAGCAGCTGTGTTTAAATATGATTTTGTTTATTTTAGCTTTAGAACCGTATTGTTCAGTTCAGAACAAATGTCTCTCTCGAGTGCTGGAAGAATTTTATTTTCCTTTTCCTTGCTCTATATACAGCTGTCTTAATGTTTCTATGAATATGAGCTCTGTCACAAGATATGAGTGAGCAAGGCAGGGGAGAGGCAGCTAAAATCAGCCTTCTATGATTGTTGCAGCTCCGCAGGAGTATCAGCTGGAGCTGTTCACTACGCTGTCGGCAGGCCTTCTGATGGAGGTCTGAACACCGGAGGAACAAATTCCATGGTCTACTCTGCTCCTAGTCAAGGTAGGATAACCCATTAGTCACCACAAGTGTCCCTGTTTAGTATCGATGTTAGAGTGACGTTATTCAGATCACTGGAATATGTGAAATAGAGTGATAGATGGAGTTCAGAGTATTTTTAGAGTTACGTGAGGGTATGAGGCAACGTGTTTTTATAACTTGACACAGTGTATTTTGATACATTGATTTATGCTGTTAGAATAAAGTGTTTTGAAATACAAAATATTGTGGACCACAACACTTTTGGTCTGCATATTATAATGAACCCACAAAGCTGATGCCACGTCGAGTGTTTTTCTACACAGAAACAAACAGTACTTATTCTTTATGAAGTCAATAGTATCTGTCCACCCTGTATCTATATCCCTTTCTGTATCCCTTATGTATTCCTTCATGTATAATTACTTATAAATATTACCACTTGTGGGTGGCTGCAGACAGCATGAAAGAGCCTTTGCAGCTAATTCTCATTGGTCACAATTCTCATGGACAGGGTCTTCGAGCAGCCGCAGGTTGGGGATAGTCTCTTCACTCAGAGAACATACATATGTTACATTTTATTGATTCTTATTCTTTTACTGTTCATTGTTTAAATATATTGTTTAAACGTCAATAAACAATAACTATAAATAAGAAGGAAAAATTCCTTCATATGCTCTTCTGAGCAACCCAAGACACAACTGTTGTAGTAAGCCAGCACCATGGGCCACTGTAGAGAGATCCTGAAGTAATATTATTATAATTACAGCACATTCAACGAATTAAAACTAAACAAAGAAACTACTGAAAGCGTAAAATAAACAAATAATGATTTAGAATGATACACTTTGTAGGTAATATTTATAACACTGAATCAACAAATGTCTACTATATAAGGATTTCAATTTTCCACAGATGTATCCTCAGGAGCCAATACATCATACTTACCAGCTGCAGCCATGAAGACTTATCCCATGTCAGACACCGGATTTTCCTCTCACCAGCCAGAGTCAAAGGTCAGACAAATGTATGAATTTTTCTCAGGATTATTAGAGTTTGCCCTCGACATATAAAGCAAATTCTGTGACAGGCTTTCAAGAATACTAGTGATTAGGGAACAGCTGTCAACGTAGAACTTGAATCCGGTAAACCTTGATTATCTTGTTTCATGTTCAAAGCAATAAATGATTAATATTTGACTCGCATCAATGACTCCCATAACAGCACATTCGGAGGGCACTGACCAGTTTTCATCTGTGTTATTTGGTTCAAAGTAAGATTGTCAGACTGATATGTTATTATATCTTATCTTATCTCTAATTTTGTTTCTTTTTACTGCTTTTCTTCCACGTATCGTTAAAGATTTTGTAGCTTAGCAGGAGGGAAAAGTGTTTGAGGTGCATAATGAATGGACCCCGAATGTGTTTTGTATCATGAATGGACCCAGATCCCCTTGTTGACAGCTGCTGGGGCCCAACAGGAGGCTTTGTCTGGGCTTGACAACTTGTTTCCACTCAACTGGATAGCTTGGCAAGTTGTGTCATTACAATGCTGTCTAGAAACTATGTGTAGAGATTTTTCATGTAGGCCTATCCTTATTTTACCACTTAATGATTATTCAACCCCTGGCTGGAAGTTAAAATGGGAATATATAGCATAATAGCTTCTGTATTGATAATTATAAAATTATTCATACTTTGTGATTTTAGTATGTGTTTTATGCTGCTTTATACTTTTTTTTGATAATTTTGATTATTGATAATTACATTAACTGATGAATCAGTTCACATTTAGGCAGGGGGACACACATTTCACATTTTTTTGTGAATCCTCCTGTAAAAATGTGTTTAAACCGGACACCACTCAACCATCTCTTTAAATATTTATGTAACAGAAACAGTTAAATGTTAAGTAGCAGCTGTCTACACAAGCTCCAACTTTATCACAGATAGACTGTCACTGCGGAGCTAAATGAAAAACTTAATTTGTGCTTCAGCTTTTTTTATTTTATTTATTTTTCTTACTGTATTTATACATGTAGCAAAGCCATCATGTAATCACTATGACTGGACACAAGTGTTGTGGACATTGATTTGAAAAGGCTGGTGAAGAGCTGCTGAAGAGCTGTTGTGGTGACGTAAAAAATAATTAAAACGTTGTACAGCAACAACAAGTTACAGGGACATTACAAATAACTATTATTAGTCCAGAGTGTCTCATCCATATTGTATAGACAGATGCTTATTCATCAAGTATTAATCTATTTTTAAGCATACTTAAATGTATCCCTTGGATTACAGTAGAGGGTACAAATATAATGTGGGAATGTGTAGGGTTACCAATAACTGAACAAAGGTAAAATTGTTTTCTCCGGCTCCAATTAATCCCTGAGTATTTCTGAGAGTTTATCTGTCACTACTGCTGTACAGTCAGTTTGCTTGTACAGGCTATTGACAAGGGTTGAAAAACAGCAGCTGTTGTTAGGCATCCATCATGAAGGCAGGTCTCTTGAAAAGCACAGTGCAGATGATGAGCGAGGTGAAAATTAGCCCCAGCAAACCCCTTTAGAAAGCCTACTGTGGTGCCCAGCATGCAGCTTTCAACAGTCAGTGAGCATTAACACGTATACAATGCAGGAGCACATACCTGTAGACGGACTCGTACTGTACACACTGTACAGACTTGCACGGTGCACACTTTATGTATTTTTGCTGCAGTTTTCTTAACTTCTTGAATTATACTCTACCAACCCTTAACATCAATTTCTTTGTCCAAAACATAGAGTATATTGTCGGGGTGGGTACAATAAATATTATCACAATCTATTTAATCACAATCATGATACAGAATCTAAATTGCAGTCATTTTCAATCAATTAATAAATGCCTTGTAGACTATAGCCGGACATGAACTAGTCCAGTCCAGTCTCCATTTCCATTAAAACACAATATTGCATTAAAGATAATACACAGTTTCTAAATGGTAATATTTAATTTGAAGTTGTAAACAACGTAAGATTAATTTTGGGATTTTCACAGAAATTAACGAATTGCATTTAAATAGAATATATATATATATATATAATCTGCTGATCTGTATATAGTTGTAGTTAGACATACTGGGACTTATAAAGAAATGTGTTTAAGATCTGAGAATAAAGACTTGTGTGACCAACAGGGGCTGTTCCAGACTCTGAGGCCCTGTTGTTTAAATACGATCCTTTCCACCGTAAAAACCACTTCCTCCATTTCAACAAATCCCTGTGACTCATTTTTTTTTCTATCAGCCATTTGTTCTTTTCTTCATTGCCCTGGGAGCCTATTTAACAGGAGCCTGAACTCAGAGATTTGAAAGTCATATGGTTCATTGGTTGGTTATTGACAAGGGGTTTTATTGTATCAGTGGGAAAATATTTACAGGCTGTGCTACATGAGCTAATGTTAGTTGCTATAAACACACACCTGTCTAAGCAGAACAGGTGGGATTTTACTGTTTTTAAAACCATGTGTTGATCAGAGAGCACCCACTCAAATGCACACGCACAACCACGTGCCATGGTAATTTGTGAACTTATTTTCTATGTATTAACTTTTATTCGTAAATGTTTTAAAAATATAAAAAAATTAAAAGAAACACATTTAATACAACATTTGTAAAAAAAATATACTGTAGGAAACTAAAAGAAAACCCTTCCGGTAAAGTAACATTTAAAATAAACTTAAATAATATATATATTATGTGATAAAAATAAAGAAAAACAACCTGTATGTCGAAGCTCACACACATGTGCCTAATAGAAGCATACACACATGAATGCTTGCCCGTACACAGAAGTCCTAGTGTCCAGCAGCCCAGCTTGAAGTAACACAGAAGCTTCATGTGATAACATAACTCAAACAGAGATAAACACAGGATTACAGCTAACTGCTGTTAGGAGCACGGACCTTAAGACCCCCAGGTCACACCCGCAGGCAGCGGTGTAAAGTTTCATACTGGTGAGAGACTGGTAAAGTGATCTGAGGGATCAGTGTGTGAGCGCTCTGCGTAGGAACGTGGGGAGAAACTGTGAAACCAGACTGACCATCTCCCTGGATCCTCCAACATGGATCTTGCTTTGCACAAATAAACAGGCATGCCCTTAGGAGAGATTCCAGCTAATGTCAGTCAGCATGCTGTCAGTGAGAAACAGGAAAGCAATGTGTGAAAGGGTTGTTATCCTTTACACCATTTGGCACTAGTTGGCCAGAGTGTGAAGTTTCAGCAACATAACATATGGTTGAACACACCGTGGCAGGTAAAGCCATTACCTCTGTTGACTGCAGTCTGTAGTGAACCGTACAAACTGTCTGATCAGTACATTAATAGAAAACATTTGTGTGATTAAAGCGACACAGGTTTAATCACACAAGGTATATTTAAATCATAGTAAAATATGTTTTTGACAAATATTTGGACCAGACAAATTGATCTCAGTATGACTGCAAAACATGTATTCCTCTCATGTATTTCTTCCTGTAGGTGTGTTTTTTTAATCCTTAGAATCAAGCTATACTGAAGGTTAGTGTCTAACCTGTGGCCTAATTTCTGTTTTCCTAAAAGTTTTGTCTTTGTTGTTCCATATATTGAAAGTCCCATCTGCCAAACAGATCATTCAAGGCGGTACTGGCAGCGTGCATAGTGCCTCCTTGTGAGTAGGCAGTGACATAACTCTGCACCTCTAGTTTGCGGTTACCAGAAACAGCTACTGTTCAAAGCCTGAGCCAACCTTGACAGTGATATCAATGCTGTGGTCAAACTGTCTGGACTGTCAGACACAGACAACATTTTACAGGTCAGACATTAGTGAGTGCAGTGATCAAGACTCTTGTTCTCTCTAATATTCCAAGGACATAAACAGCCTATTCCTGGATCTGTTTATTGAGCCCAACCTGCATTGACCTTTTTGTGTTCTGGTGGTGGCACTGGCATGGAGCTGTTAATAGAATTATCACTCTTATATCTGAAGCTGTTGATGTCAACTTGCTGGCCAGAAACCATTAAGTCGTGGCGTAAAATTCAGTTATCAGTCATCCAGAACATCTTTTTATTGGAGTTGTATAGTAATATGATCTTTTCACAATTTGTGAATAGAAATAACTGTTCAGATATGTGTCTTGTAAAAGAGTTGTATCATTATTATCTAAAGGTACCCTTTTAAAGGAAGGTATGTGTCCTCAGTTTATTAACTACTTCATGTTATTTATGGCCCATTTTGGATCAGTACTTCATGCATGATTTGAATACTGATACACTTGCCTCTGATTATGTTTCAGCATGCATAGTAAAGTGACTTTGAGATTGTAAAGGTCTCCTCCTCCCCTTTATTCATTCTGCATTTAATGGCTGGTGGACCTAGTGTGAAGTGTATGTTAGTGTTGGGTTTTCCCTGAACAAATTCCCTGTAAAAACAGAGACCATGGCTCCTGGTCCGAGGTGGAATTAGGACCCCAGTCTGTCCCGCACATGGAACTGTCTGTCAGGTCTGTCAGCCAGAGACGCAGGAAGAGGAGGAGGGGCACTGGAAGAAGTGCAGTTGCAGCACAATTGTTGCAGAAATAAGACTCTGTCATATAACAAGCTGAATTTACTACTGCTGTCCGCAATGATGTTAAAGGGAGCAGGAGGTGTCAAACGGTATGTCATCTTCTACTCCACATGCCTCCAAACCAGAACATCCAGAGTCCCTGCAATGGTGGAGCTACTTCTTTGTTGAGCTTATCTTGGTCACGTTTTTAGCATGTCTGTTCTCTAAACTCTGGGGACAGATAGTTTGAAAAACTTGGTTGTTGTAAGCCAGAAGAAGTGAAAGATTGAGGTAAAGACAGAGATTTGAGGATAAATAGTTCAGATGGGAAGAGTTAAAAATTTGAGCTGGGAAATAGAATGGATGAATAATAACGAATTTGAAGGAGAAAGAAAGGAAAAATACAAACAGTTAACATCATCTCCCTTGAGAATAAAGCTATACAAGTAAATAATAATGATAATAATAAAACAATAGTCAGAAATAATAAAATATCTAAAAACTAAAAGAGATTGAATTGCTTTTACTTTCTCTATACTGTCACTACTGCTGCCTACCGTGTCTCCATGAAGAAAAGTATAACTGCTCATGTACCCCCTTTGCTTTCAGTTAGAAAAAGGGGAAAGACAAAGAGATGTTGAGCAATGCAGGTCAGTACACTTGGCGGCCTAGAGGGATTATTGTCAAATGCGTGAAATGTCTGGGGACAGTCAGCTGACAAGTCTCTAAATCCAAACAAGAAAACTTTCATTATCACTGCTGCACTACTGCCAAGGAACTATTAATAGATGCAATGATGTGGGTAGTATCAAGGAGGGTAAATGACCTGACAGTGTGATAGTATTACATTGATGTTGGACAGACTAGTTTCCTACAGTGACTCTGATGGGCCACACAGATTCCTCAAAGATCAAACAGACACTTTATCTTGTATATCTACTCATATAGAAATAGTAAAGGAGATACTGTGTTTGCGTCAGTTAGCCTACCCTACAGTGTTGGAAGGTTGGCACAATAAGGTTAGCTATGGCTTTAATGTCATCGTACCGTAAGCAGGGAGAAGTTATTTTGATTCTGGTTTGGTGCAAGTTTGAATGTTTAAAGGCAGAATGAGTAAGATTTTACTAAAAAATAATAATGTACACACTCAAAAACAATCCCTCTCAATCTTTTTACTTATGACCCCCATGAGAAGTGTGTGGTAGTGTCTATATCTGCACCCTGCCCTATGCCTGTAGTGTGATAGTTTGATTGTCGGGATGTTCCCGGGTGTCAACCCTGAATGTCATCAGTATTACAGAAGGTTGTTGACTCACTTCAACAACAGCTGTTTTCAGATGTTCAATAGATTTTTGCCACTTATCTGCGCAATATTTAAAACATATTCTGACTGCTCAAGAATTTGTTTTTATTGTTTTCAGCCATTTCCGCCCAGAAAGGCCACAGTGGGGCGAGTCGTTCACATCTGCAACCTCCCTGAAGGCAGCTGCACAGAGAATGATGTCATTAACCTGGGAATATCCTTTGGCAAAGTCACCAACTATATCCTCATGCGCTCTACCCATCAGGTACATTAACAATATTATTTGTCAATTATTTGCTATTCATGTTCATCAGTGAATATTTTCATTTTGTAATTTACTTTCTTTGCATCATTAAAAGAAGCCTACATGTTACATTTTTCACACCCTTTCCGAGCGATGTATTTTGAGTACATTAGTACAAGAAGATTAACAATCAACTTTAAAATACACATCATATAGTGTCCAGTGTGACAGTGCATCTGTTATCAAAAAGTCACTGCTTGTCATACCTGTGGTACGTTCATGAGCTTTTATAACCAATGACAGCAACTTGAATTGCACACTACCTTGTTTCAAAGTAAAAATCATCTTTGAAGTCTCGTTCAGCGTGTGTGTGTTTGCACAGACTTCTGTCCAGATAAGCTCTTGATGATCCTGTGAATATTTTCACTTAGAAGAAATGTGTCAAAATGCAAATCACCAAATTATCTATGTGCATTTTTATGGTTATCAACAGCTTTTTTTCTGCTACAGCTGTTATGTCATATCACGTACTTTGTCATAACTTACTGGCTGTTTAACTACTAGTACATGACAGCTCACTCAGGCTCCCAGGTTTCAGTTATCAGAAGTAAACGGCAACATTAATATCACCCCTATCGAATTTAAAGCATTCATACTAAAATCATGGTATTGGTTACATGGACTAAAGCGACTGTTCTGGTGATTTATGATGGTAATGAAATGTGATAGCTTGTGATAATGATTTTTGAAGATTTGTTTGCATCCCAGTCTGACATGTGAGATGTGAAATATGTTTCTGCAGATGTCCTGCAAGAAAGACCATAACTGTCAGAAGGGGATTATTGTTTACAGAAAATGTCTGTTCTACCATCAGGCATTTCTGGAGATGGCGTATGTTGAAGCAGCTCAGGCCATGGTTCAATACTATCAACTTACTCCAGCTACGATCAACAATCAGAAACTTCTCATACGAATGTCTAAGAGGTACAAGGAGCTGCAACTCAAGGTGAGACTGAGAACAAAGTAAACAGCAGGTTATGTGTCAGCCATTTACTAAACTTGAACTTCTTTTCTGTATAGAAACCAGGTAAAGATGTTCAATCGATCATCCAGGATATCAGTTCTCAGCGGGAAAGGGACGAGATGCAAGAACTTGAACAGTGAGGCAACTTTTCATTCTCATTTCAGTCTCAAGTGTCTGTTTTTGTATAGCTGAGTTCTTTGGGTCACTCGTCGAGGAAAGCAAAATGTCAAAGATTATTACTTAAGCACTTCAGTTAAGAATCAGAGTGATGTTTCTGATCTCAAAAATTACAACACAAAGTGCAGCTTTAGGTTTTGTCCATATAATCTGTGTCTCTAATGTACTGTATCATCTCCCTCCAGCTACATGCCAGAGAGGGCACGCTCCCGCAGCCCTATCAGCCGCTCTCTGAGTCCTCATTCACACAGCCCCAGTTTTACATCATGCAGCTCAGCCCACAGCCCCCAGGGGGCATCATGCAGGGGTCCAGAGAGAGGCAGCAATGGCCTTGGCCCCCGCCGGGGCTCTTGGGATTGGTCATCACACTTGAGAAGGGCTGAGGACGAAAGGGAGAGGGACGACCCATGGAGGAACGGGGGCAGCGTGGAAGACGATCGCCCTAATGGACGGACAGTCGACCGTCGGAAGGCTTACCAGAAACCCTTAGATCACATCAACTCGAGATCTGCAGATGAGCGAGGAGGAGGAGGAGGAGGTGGTGAAGGGATGAGGGGCAACAGAGACTGGCACCCGAGGGGCAGCCCTCAAGGCATGTCCTTCAACTCTTACAGGAACATGGAGGATGACTTCTACATGAAGGAACAAATGTACAAGTCAGACAAGCCGCCCAGACCTCCATACCAAAGACATGATGCAAAGGCAAAGAGGAGGGATGCTGGTGACTACCACAGTAGATCGAGGCATTCTGAGTTTGAGATGACCGAGGAGTCACTTCGCAGAACACTAGAAGACAAGAGGCAGAGTTCACCAGACAGGGGCAGGAGCAAAAAGACAAGTAGGAGGCACACCACGGCGGAAAAACATGAGCGAGAGCATGCTACTGAAAACACTGTGAGTAACTTTTGTATATGAACATTATTGTTGTATACATTGCACATCCTTCCAGCTGCTAAGTCTTTTCTTTTCCCAGGATCGTCAGTCAAAAGAGAAATCTGTGTCACCTCAGCAAAGTAATAAGCCAAAAGAGACAACTGAATGTAGTAAAGGTAGAGACACTGTAAGTAATTATTCTGATTTTTAATAAATATTCAAACTCTTTCAGGCCCTTATTTAACCCCACAGGTTAACTGTAAACATGTACCTGCTTTAAAGTTGCAGGTCACTACTGTACTGTAGTTAGAGTATTAACAGCTATTTTCTTGATCTATTTTCTAAGGTGAAGGAGTGGGAAAGTGGAGATGACACTGATGAAGAGTGTTGGTATCCTAAGAACATGGAGGAGCTGGTCACTGTAGATGAAGTGGGAGGGGAGGATGATTCCATTATTGAGCCAGACCTTCCTGAGCTGGAAAAGTACGCATCCTGCACCAAAGAGTCTGTAGAGGAAGATGCAGTGGAGAAGCAGATACTACCACCTACTTCTTCCTCCTTGGAGGCGCAGGAGGCATCTAAAGAGAAGTCTAATCAGGAAAAGTTCAGTGAGGATGCTGGTGACCACGCAGAAACATCTGTAACTGAGAAACCAGAGAATGTTTTAACTGCAGCCAGTGCTAAAGAGCAGAAACTCCAGTGGCCCCAGTGTCCAGTGGCTCCTGAGCTACCAGCCACTAACCTTAGTGACTTCCCCAATGAGGAGTTCAAGGCTGCGCTGGAGGAGACATGTTCAGAGGATAAAGTAACCAAAAGTGGGACATCAGAAGAGTCAATGGAAAATCACATGGATGGATCAAAGGACAGCAAACCCCTGGAAGAAGGACAGGTCACGGAAACTATAAATATTGGAGCTCAACATAAGGATGGCAGTCTTAAAAGAGGTACTTTTCAAAAGAGATGTCAAACACGTAGAACCACAAGATCCAGTGTTATGTTACATTAGGCAAAAGATAGATTTTTCTAGATAGATTAGTCAATCAATTAGTCAGTTTTGATAATGTATTTCATAATTTTTCATTTACTAATTATAATAAGTTTAGTTCAAAAATGCATTCTGAAGTTCTGGTATCATATTCCCTCTTTTCTCTTAACAGTGTTTCCTTGTTGAGCTCCAGTGGAGGAATAGTAGAAAAAAAAGATGCAATTTTGCCACTAACTGTGGAAGATATCCACAGATTTGACCTATTTAGGCTGCTGAAGCCTCATATTAGCTGCAGATGAACTTCAGATTGTATCTAAACAGAGCAAGGTCTGTGGATTTTGTCCCTATTCTCTTATACTGAGATCTCTTCACAACTAGTATGAACAGGACAGTTATAGCAACAATCAGGTACACGTTATTGTTTGACAAACATACTTTTTGTTTGCGAAATGTAACTACTTACCGTATCATCATTCCCTTATTACAACAAAGTTTGTTTAATTTAAGTGATTACCTAACAGTTAATCATGAGTTTGCTACACTCATACACAGACACAAACAGCAGTTTGTAAGATGAAAAGGTTCAAAGTTTTACATAGGGAGTATCGGTCAAATGGTTTGTAGTTGATACACTAGGCCATGGTAAACATTATAACTATAGACGATATACATTTCTTGATTGTTGCAAACAGATTGGTATTTTTTTCTTCTCTAAGTATACTGTTTCAGATGTATCTTGTAATTCTGTCATGTTAAACTTTTGTAAGAAAATGTACACGTTAAATAAAGGCAAAGCATTTTTAAGATTTTGTGCATCCTGCCTTTCTCATAATTCCTCTGCCTTTCACAGAGATCGAGGCCCCTTCGCCATCTTGTGAGCAAGGTAAAGCTGTCAGTGAACACAGCATCCCTTTGGGTAAGCAAATTCTAACTCGAATGTACACTGAATATAGTTCTTGTTTGGTCATCAAATATCAGGTTAAGCAAAAAAGACTGAACAGTAGCAATAATGATGAAAACTGTATCAGATTTCTCTGGCGGAGTCTATATTTAATCATTGTCACAGATACAGGTTCACAGAGTCTTGAGCCTGTGGTCTTAGTCCTAAAGATAAATTGTTATCATGTACACCATTAATAAGTGCACTGACAACCTGTTGCATTAGCACTCTAATTGGCTGGAATTGCTTGGCCAGTTGCTGACCTATTTCCGTGAGCAGGTTGTGAAATGCACCCATGGGAGATGCGTATTATTATTAGGGCTAGAATGACACAGCCAAGAACATGGCAAGTGTCGGGCCTGCTGTGTGGAGACTTACATAAGCTCTGGTGCAGTGTAACAACAATAAACCACAGGACAGACACAAGAGTGAGGCTATTTCTGTAGTATGATGTCCTGAGAATGTGTGTGTGTGTGCCCAGAACAAACTGTGTCCATTGATAGCATGGCTGAAACTAATTGAACGCTGATGAGTCGTCTGGTTGTTGTTGTTGCCAATTTGTTCACTTTTTACTTTCACTATTTTCATTTGGCTTTTTCTTAACTAATGGCATTTGCATCTATTGTCTTCTTTTGTCTTTTCTTGTTTGTATTTTAAGTTCTGGAGCTCATTGCTTTTATATTTTATATTTTTTTAAAGCACTTTGTAACTTTGTTTTTGAAAGGTGCTATATAAGTTATTATTATTATTATTATTATTACTATTATTATTATTATTATTGTAATATGTTTTTTGTAAAACGGTCGGAGAATAGTGTCCCATCCTGTCCAGTTCATCTGTCTCAGTCTTTTTATGGAAAATTTTCATGTATAGTTAATTTTCATGGTTTCAGCATTTTAAAGTTATTAAACTTATACATCTTGATACAATACTGTCAGTGTGTTAAGTAAGACACAAAACACTTAAAGAAAAAAGGAAAGAATTGTGGGTTGTCACCCTTTTCAGTGATATATATTGATTATTTTTCATTTTAATATCATTTTCTTTAACTTAGAAAATTTTTTTGCTGACAAGAATCGATCAAATTGGCCCCAGAGAGAGTGATGTAATGAGAGGTGCACCAGGAGATGTTAACATTATTTAGCCTGTAATTGACAGAGGCATTGTTTCGCTTCTCTGTCAGTGTTGAAAGAAAAATCTATTTGAATAAATAAGAATGACAAAAAAATTAAAAAAGGAGGAAAAAAGATTTAAAGTAATTAAAATAAACTGTATTTTTACTTTTTTTGTTTTCCAGAATTTGGATTCATAAAAAAAAAATGCAAGTAAAACATGCAGCATTTAGTCAAAATGATGACAGGTGCGTTTGTCAGGTGCTGAATTTTGGGGCTGTAATCTAATTGTTGTGTTCACTGTCTAACAGGAGTGGAGTTCATCGTGCCGAGGACCGGCTTCTACTGTAAACTGTGCGGACTTTTCTATACCAGTGAGGACACCGCGAAGACCACTCACTGCCGCAGCACTGTACACTACAGGAACCTACAGGTACACACACTGCACAGTGACCTGAAATCATACATTTCCACATTTTATTAATTATTTCCTCCCTGAATTTTATGAGCATTTCAACATTCGCTGAGGTAGATATGTGTATCTAACAGTAAATGTGTGTGTGTGTGTGTGTGTGTGTGTGTGCACTGTATGCACATATACAACATGTCTGCCTGTGCATTTGCTGTCACTCCTTTTGTATCAGCAAATATAGTATTAAAAATTCACATGTGTACGCCTGCACTGTACTGAGGGCGCTGCCGGTGTGGTCCACAGTCAGTGTGGTCTGGTAGCAATGTTTTTAACACCACCTGTTTCTGGGTTGGTGAGTAATGTCTTCATACTCAAACATTCAGCACGTGCATGTTATATTCATTTTCTTTACTTTTATTCTCATGTTTGTCTCTTTTTGGGCATAAATCTTATTAGAAATGTTTAAACAAAAGTGATGATTTCTAAACAGGACTACAGTCGACATGAGGGTCAAACTAATGTAACTGTCAGTAATACAGTCAAAGCAAAATGAAGCAAAAATGTTGAGTTGTTATATATTTTGTATCTAAATTTTTTTTCTTGCTAGATAGTAACTTGGCAATATGTATTCCGTTTCCCCAAATGTGAAGGTATATATGACGTTAAATTAAATGTGCGCTGTGAATCAAACAATTTAGACATCAGCTGAGGCTCTGGGAACTTTTGGTGGCCATTTTTTTCTATTTTCTGACGTTTAACAGATTAAATGGTTAATTGAAAAAATAATCAACAGATTAATTGAAAGAGGAAAACTACACTCAGATAGGCAAACACATCCTCAGACAAACACATCAATATATACTATCACATCTTAGCTCACACACACAAATAAATTAACATAGACATTGCATGTCCATTGAAACTGTATTAGGTTTCTGAATTGTGGCCATTCAGCACCAAGCCATCTTACATTTCTCTCGTCCCCGGCAGCACAGCTGAGGCAAGCCGGGAAGAGATTCCCTAACATTTGATGGATTACATTCCAAAGGAAAAAAAACCTGTTTTAAACAGTTGTGCTGTCTGTCAAAGCTCTGTGTGTGTGTGTGTGTGTGTGTGTGCGTGCGTGTTCTGGTGTTTAATAGATTTAGATTAGTTTTTGTCCTTTTTTTTGACTACAGGTTTAAGTTTGACTTTACTTAGTTTAACTTCAACACAATTGTTGTACAAAAAACAGAATAAGAAGAAGAAGTAGCTTCTGATTGATCAAGTCTTTCATTCTCTGATATTTGAGTGAATACATGTATGCAGTCAGACCATTACTGTACTGTATATATTTCTATTTATATTTGTGTTCCTTTTTCTTTATTTCCACTCGTCCTCAGAAATACCTGTCCCAGCTGGCAGAGGAGAATCTGTCGGGCGCGCTTGATGAACCTGCGGCTGCACAGTGACATCAGCTAGCAGCAGAGGAAAGATTCATGTATGTGTGCTGTTGGTGCAAGGCTGCGGACAACAACAGCGTGGATAATGTGACACATGGAAGCTAGAGTGTGTGGACAATTGCACTGGTTTTGATATTTTGGGGCAGGGATGCTTGAATGTCTTGAATGGCACTGACTGTCCCAGCTATAGAGGCTCTCAATCTTGTACATACCTGAAGTGTCATGTATAGAAAGGCTACAATATTTAATTGCAATGTTTGGGGGGTTTATACATTTTCTTACAGTTTATTTAATTAGATTGTGTGTGATATTTTTTGGAATGGGAATGTATTTACAATGACTGTAATTACTAAGAAGCTTTTTCAGTAAGGGCTTATGTCAGTCCCTTCTCTGAGTTTATTTTAATTATACTCCTAGCAACAGTCATAATTTTACAACTGCAAAATGACTTGGAATATGTGCCAAGGAATGTTTTTACTCAGTTAAAAAAAACTGAGGCTGATTCTCAGGTTTGTTGTATTTGTTGAATAGATTTTAAGTACACGACATTTACATTTTTATTTATATCTGGGGCTTTAAAGACTCTTGCTCAATGTCTTTTATCTTGTGCCAGTTTGTGCACTACAGTATCTGTCTGTCAGGTGAAAATGTACATCATTTGGATTGATAATGATGCAACTATGCAAAAGACCTTTATTTTCTGGAAGTTTTATGTTGGATTTAATTCAATAAGACAATCCCAGTCATATTTGCCAATATATTTAATGCCTTAAATATTGAAGACCTTAAACTGGACCATGTATTTAATTTATCAGTTAAACATTTCATGTTACAGTGATTTCTTCAGGATTATCAAGCCAGAAATTGTTTTTGTATACTGTGAATACTGATCCTGTGACATCAATGATAGCGTTGTTTTCTTTGACAAACTTTTCATATGATTTTTTTGATGCAAAAAAAACCTTCAATAAACATTTTAAACTTGATTCTACAGACGTTTTTGCTTTTTGAATACAATGAGGTAGCCTATAATGGTAATACAGTAATGAACAGCACTCACAAACAGCAGTACAACACACAAATCCATTTTCTACAACAGCGTGTGGTCGGACGTGAGTGGTAGTGTTGTAAAAGAGCTCCCCCAAGTGTTGAGGCAAAAAACACATTTGGGAGCTAAAACTAAATCTGTAGGTCTAAATAATGTCTAAAACTCAGTTTAGATATTTAACATTAATCTAAAAATTATTCTCCTTTTTATAATAAAAAACCCACTTTTAGACATTCAGTCAGCTTACTCTAACAGTAGGTTTACACAATGTAATATTCTTAAGTAAACTACCTGTGGCTATGGCCAGAATAACAGAATCAATCAATCAATCAATATCATTATTAATGATCCAGCATGTTGTAGCTGATAAAGAGTTGTGCTACAGTATCACCGATAGGGGGCAGCAGTTCATCACACACACAGACCCTCACAGAACATGCGAGAAGGAAATCCCGTGTTGCATTTTCATTGGTCCTCGTTTTAAAAAGCCCACACACCTCCAGCCAATCAGATCGCTCATACGCTGACCTACGTGCCTGCGTTGCTGGGTAGATAAAACAAAAACAACAGGGTTCGTGTCAGAGTTTGAAGCTTGGACACAACACACGGTCAGTGCGTTTATTGTGAGTTATCCAGTCGACGCAGAAAGGGGGATAAAAATGCATATTTTACATGTCAGCGTCCCGAAGGACTTAAAGATTGTTTCGATGTCAGCTAACAGATGTACACAGAGCTAGCGGACTGTGTGCAGTTAGACGTAACGTTAATCTTTGACTGGCGATAAACAGCCAGTCAGCGACGTG